TTCTACGTAAAACTAACTTATCCCTACTGATCTTTTTGTTTTTCTCACGCAATTGACTTTTTGCTTCTTCGATTACCTTCAAGGAAACATGGTCAAGCTGGATGGCTTAAGTAATTGGATAAATGCGGTTGTACGGAAGTAAGCAGTAAGACTTGAAAATTCTTCATAAAAACAGGCCATGGATTTATGTGTTAATTACCTGATCAAAAAGGTCTTTTTTCCCCTCTCGTAATTAGCCAATTTTTGTAGGCATGAAGCCTCGGATCTTTTATAAATAAATTGGGTAATCATTCATGTCCCTCTCTCTTTTTTTTTCAGCCACAATTCTTTTATAAATAAATTGGGTAATCATTCATGTCCCTCTCTCTTTTTTTTTCAGCCACAATTTCAATTTCATTAAAGAAATAGAACGTTACAGCAGTCCAACCCTTGTATCATCAGGGTTTGAAAAACACATGGAAGACGTGTTCAATTAAACTTCCATAAAAAAGAATACAAACCAATTCTATCTTGAACACGCCAAAAAAATACAGTTTTTTTTTTAAATTTTTTTATAAAGGAGGTCAGTAATGGATTTAGATATTTTTTTTAAAGATATTTACTTATAATATATATATATATATATAAATCTATAAACGAATTATTAATTTTATAAAAAAAAGGGATATCTATGAAAAATTTTAGTGTGTCCATTGAAAATTTTCCTTCAATTTTTTAATTTTTCAATATTTAAAATGTTCAATAAAATTTTTCTTTAATTTTTTTTTATTTTTTAAAATTTAAGAATAGCAAAAGATACCCTAACTGAAAGAGTGGTTCCATCCCTAAAAAAACCACAATTTAAGAGAAGAATAAAAAATTATAAATATTAAAATTTAAACTCTAAATTTATAGAATATTATTATTTTAAAAAAATTTACATGAACTAAACGATACAAGCTAAAATTAATAAAAATTCAATCCTATCCCATTTTGGCAAGAGAGCTTGCAAATGAATTAGTTTCCGATACTATAGAAAAAATCCACCATATGCTCACACCTCGAAGTCTATTAGTTGAGGATGATTTTCTTCACAAACCAAGTCAATCTATCAATGAATTAATCAAATAGACATGATAATTTTTGTGTTTATATTGTATAAAATATTATATTTATATTATATTTTATATAAAAATTATATGTTATATTTTATATCAATATAAAAATATAAAATATATATTTTTTTAATTTTATTAAATTTATTTATATTATTTTTATATTATATCATTATTTTGTATTTCAAATTATCAGATCTATCAATCAATTAAATACGCACGCGCGGGGTGGTGTGGGTCGATCGAATCAGCCAAGTTATACGATTTTGAGGTATCGTCAAATGCCAGTTTTTTAATAATTTGTGGAACATCACTAAATGACTTTGAAAAAAACTAGCATATAAAACCCAACAAAGTCCGAATACACAAGAATAATTTCAATCTTTTAGAAAGGATTGGATTCAAAGGGAATGCATGTTTTGCAAAGTTTTAAGTGAATTAACAATTATTTGTGTTGTAGCTATCTATTCAATTGGTAAGATTAATTTTCATGATTGCTAAGTTAGCGTACGATCGAATACCACATCATTTGACATTCAAATTTTTTGCCATAAAACAAATTTGTCCTTGTTCAAACGAGACTCAGTCCAATTACTTCCACTAATATTTCATCAAAGTATTATTTAATAACAGATCAATTGATTTTTAATTTATTTAAAATCATTAAATATAATCTATGTCGATTCGATATCATTAAATATAATTTATACTTTTTTATATGACTTTTTTTCAAGTTTCATATAGATATGTCATTAAACTATCAACAATTTTGATCATATCATCATCTTTTTTCTCATAGATATAAGAAAAAACAAAAGTCCAGACACGATATGAACAAAGAACCCTTATCCCTTAAGATTCCTAACTACTTTTTTACCTTCTTCCTCAAAAAAATCTATATACTTAACTGACTTGATTGTTGGAGTGTGTCTTGAAAAATCAACTCTGACATTTCCTGACTATGCTTTCCTTTTGTAAGTTCTTATAATCCTTCACACGACTTCTAAATCACCAATCACCCTACCAACATGCAAACACCATCAATAATTTGCAATAACTATAAAGCACCAATTCGAAATATCTGCTATGGATATTCATATCAGATTATCAATTGGTTGGAACTATATAGAACAATAAATTATATATCGAGGCATGATTAAAGGAGATGAGATAAAGAAAACAAGAGAAAAAAATAAAAATTATGTTAAGATAGAATTAAACACGGTTAAATCTGGAGGAGAAGGCAGAAAGAAACAGCTTTTAAAAAAGCAGGAACGAGAAAATGACGACTCCAAGTCATGGGGCTAAAAAACAAGTACTCATGGGAAGGGATACAGCTAGCTTAATTTTGTGACTTCCGGCCTTTGAAAGTCTCTTCTATCAAATTCCCGAAAAGGGTAATCGGGAACATTTCCACAACCTTGTTTTTCATCTTTATTGCTTCATAATTTGAAACATTGTAACCTCTGGTTGGTGAAAAAGATTCTGCCATGTTCATGCACATTGGCTAAACTTTGTTCAAATTCGTGAAATGAAGGCTTCAAACTTTGAGCTTTTCGGTTGTCCTCGTAAACGTATAAATTCACTGGACCACACGATTGTTGGCAACATATTATTTTCTTATAATAAAAGGCTTTGTGATTAATTAATCTGTACAAGACTACGAGACAAAATGTAGAAAAAAATTTTTTTTTGAAGGAGAATGGAGTTGCAGAAAGCATTGAAATTAAAAGGAGTTTGGCAAGCAACATGGAGAGGTTCACTGCATTTCGCAAATTTCAATTGAAACAACAGTACTATTAATGCTTTTTATGTTTGAATAATTGATTGAAGGATAATAACCATCATGTGGGGAGGATGAATGCATGCATTTAATCTGTTGTTTCGTACTGGGAGCAATAATTCTGATTTGAATCTATACATCTACTTATTTTTGGCAAATACAAAACAAAATTATCTTTCTTTCCTTAGTATTTATTCATTTTTATTGCAAAGTAGCCGCCCTTGCTTTGTCATATTAAAAGGAGTAACAGAGTAAGAAATGTCAAAAGCAAATACATTGTACAGAGAAATAGAACAGATTAAATGGTTTCCACTGCCTCTAAGAGAATGAGAAACTAAATTTGAAGTGGTCAACTTTTATCATCCACTTGTCAAGTAAGTGAATTGATAATGTATGATTTTCTACGTAATATGATCCAACCCTTTTTAATTGTTGTTAATGACAGATTTAATTTGTCATGTTTAATTTGATCAAAAAATATATATCTTTTCTTCTAGTCTTTTACTACATTTTCATACATGAATTGGCATTTTTGGGAGTAACATTCTTACATTACTTGTCAAAGAGGTTATGTTATAATTATATAAAAAAATAAAATCTTTGAATTCATAAGGCTTCTATGGTGATGAGGGTTCGCAATGAATATATATTGTGATTATTACCATGCAAGGGTGTCTGCTTTCTCTTTCTTTATCTCTTCGATGTGGTCCAGTACCTCTGAATGATGACTTGCCAGGACAGTTCGAAAGGGGAGAAAGAATTAAAAAAGTGCATGGTAGAGATGACAGGTTAATTACATTATATATCGACATTTTTGTCAACATTTTTTCAGGTCTTGTTGGAAAGTGGAGACCAGATGGTAAGCAAGATCTCGGCTTGATTTTATTGAACTAATGAAAGATTTAAGTCTATTCCTAGTTACGTAGTGTTTAGACCTTCCATATAATTATATATATATATATATATATCCAACTTAATATAATATATCATTAGCAGGCCCGTAGGGTTGATTTATGCTATATGGAACCAGAACCATCAACCATGCACAGTACTTCCAAACAAAATCAATTTCACAAAAAAAGCCGCTAATTTTAACCGAAGGACTGAGGTTTCTTTGTCTGGTGTAGTCTGTAATAAAAAAAAGGTTGTCTTTACCAGCTTGCATTTTTGGTCCTTCTGCCTGATTAATATATATATATATATAACAGCTACAGTCAACCAATTAACACATTGATAACTTTTTCCCCCCTTTTTTTTCTCCTTCTTTGCCATGAAAAATCAAGTATGGTTTACTGGTAAAGTTACTTTCATCTAATTGGTAGCTTGTGGATAAGAATTTGATTTCTCAGTCACAGATCGCATCATATAGTAAATTTTCTTTATCAGTACTGTATTTTTTGATGAAACTATGAATCGATCTAATTTTTTTTTTTCAATATCTTGATTTCATGATTGAGATGAATCAAGAAGATTAGAAATTTAGAATACGTGACCCTTGAATTAATATGGGTCTTGGGCCTTATCCTCAAGAAATGATTAACTCTTCTGATACGGAAATAATTATATGATCTTTCCTGTCTCACTATAGTTTATTTTCAAAGATTACTTAATGGTTTTCATGTCTTCCACATTATCTGATGCAGGTTTTTTCTTGGTCAGTGTGCTGCCAAACTATTTATCCCTATTTTTTTGCAAACATTTACCAGGATTTCAACGGTTGTGACCATTAGAAAAATCTCTGCTCCTTGCTTTTTTCAACTCTTCATCATTGATTTAATCACTAAAATCCATCACACATTATAAATAATGAGACATTTGAAGTCAAACAATCTATGAAAGGTGGTTGGTTTAGGTTTATAGGCTAATAAAAGATATGGAAAGAGGTAAGTTCCCGGTCAAGGATATCTATATACATGCTGCAAAAATCACATGGCTGCTGCGGATATAATCATAGGCTTTGTTATTAATTTTTACATGCCTGTCATTGAAAGATGCTTCTATGCCGATGATTAATACTGGAAACAAAGAAAAGAAAAATATGAAGTGAGCTGTATGCAAGAAAGATATTTTAAGTCGGCCTCTAATGCTTTCTGGGAGTACAATTCTGCTCCTTTTGCACGGAATTATTTAACCACTTCGAAGGGGCCAAGCTATGAACCCACTCCATAATTGATTGACGTTAATGAGATCATATGTACTTTTGATTTGGAGAAAAGCCCAAAAGCGTGGTCAACTACAATGTTAGAATTGGTACTTGAGCTACATGAGTTGGTCTTAGCCCAGATCAGCAGGAAAACTGGTTCTGATCCAGTGCTGGCAAGTGGCAATTGCAATCCTATCAGCTACCAAGTTTTTAACTTCTCCTTGATGCTTAGTAACTTGAACTTAGAAGGTCAAAAGTGAAAAACATTTTCATTTTCGTTTTAAGGTTTGGAGAAAGTCAAGGAACCAACAGAATTTCTAGCACACTACTGGTATTGTGGGATACACTATAGGGATCACATTCATTCAATTTAGCATTCTTAGTAATAGTTAAACTTGTGAAAATTGAAAAAGAAATTGTTGTTAATCATAAGTAAAATGTTAAATTTGTTTATTCATGATTGAGAAAGATATCTCAAAATGAGAATAAAGTTTGGATGTTATAATTAGTAGAATTGTAGAGGAAGAGGCAGGCTATCCTTTTTACAGAACATAATTAGTAGTGATTATTAGACAAACGATGAGCATATGAAACATATTACACAAAGATAACAAAGCCTTTAGATTTTATGGGAAAATAAAAAGACAAAACTCCTCAAAGTGAGATAGAATTCTACAACCGAAGATTTAAGTCAAGCTTTTGCAAATCAGGTTCTTGCTTTGGTAATTTATCAAGGCGGAAGCTTCCTGGCCAGATCAAATCCATTGATTCTTCAAGCATACAGGGTGTCCCAGCCATCCCAAACACAGGACTGGAATCACTTCCAAATCTTGCTACCATTGCTGACCCTTCTGTGATAGGCTTGTGAACAATAGCATGAGGTTGGACACCCAGTGATCGAACCGCAATAGAATTGAAGGGAACCCCCATTGTTGTCATCATCATTTTGTGAGACTGGAACCTTTTAGCAGCTCCTCTTTCCCTCTTGTGTGCATTTTGGTGGCCACCCAAGGCCTGAGAACTATAAAACTTTCTCATGCAAAAGTTGCATGAGAAAACCTTGTTGCTAGCAGGTTTTGATTGAGGATCACACTCTCCAGCTGTTGCAGGCTCATTTCTGTTAAGTCCTAAACTCAACAAATCCCCCAAGTTATCATCTCCAGCTCCTGTTTCGTTATTGTCATCTCCTGTTTTCGATTCACCATCTTGGTTGTTGACTGATGTCTCATATTTTTCTTCATCCCTCTGGAAAGTCATAGCACAAAGATTCTCAACTCAGACAGGTTTTGTAAATAGGAAATTCTGATCGATATAGAGGGGCTTAAAGAAATTGTAGAGCTGTGTGGTTAAATAGGACGTAATAGATAAAGAAAGAATTTAATGGACAGGGAAGTGGCAGTAGATATTATTAAATTTAAATCCCTTTTATCTGGGGAAGGGGGTCGGGGGTTCCCATCCTGATGATACTTGAACATTTGATGGGGCAATGCTTATGTAGACTATTAGTATTGGATTTAAGAATGTAAAAGATACATTAATATTAGTAAGTTATTTGGATTTAATTCAAATAAAATTTAAATTTAATATGATTATTATTAAGTCAAATTTAAATTTAAATAATTTGATTTATCGATCGATTCAAATTCGAGTATTTTTATATCTTATTCGAATAATTCACGAGTCTAATTAAATTTTTATATTTTAATATATTTTAATTAATCAAATATTTCGAACTTGAGTTTAAGTTTAAGTTCGAATACAAATAATCAAATTTTTATCAAATATAAAAGTTTAATTTAATTTTACATATTAATCGAGCTTAATCAAATAAGTTCGAGTAGCTTGATTTTTATCTAGAATCGAGTTCAAATTAAAAAAATAAAATTTGATTGAGTTTGAATTAAGTTTCAAACTTTAAATTTAAAAACAAATTCAAATTTAATATTATATCAATTTGAATTCAATCGAATATTCTCTTAATTTTTACGATATTAAGCTTAAGATTACATGATAATCTTTTTCACCTTCTTTATCGCGTCTATTGCATCAACTACATGGTTCTCCATGTTGGATGAATTAATAAATGGAACTTAACCTTGCCCTCATTTTTTCAGGGTCAAGGGAGCTTAACTGACAACAATGCCATTAATGGTCAATTCATCAAGCAATTAATGTCTCCGTCTCAATGAGTCATTGTCTGAACACATTTGCATTTGTATGTTGTCGGATTGTGTAGCACGAAGACAGCACTATTTCAGCCCACAATTAAGCCTGTTTAAATGAGTGGACTCTTTGAAAAAACTTTCATAAAGTGATAATGAAAAGAAAACACTTCCATTCGACAAATGAAATTAGAATCCTATCTCAAATTAACACAATGAACGGACAAGCTTTATGTTATCCAAAGACCAATAACTACAGCAGAAAATTAGGCCAAAAAAAGTTAGCTCCCTGACCCTGATTGAACCATATGTGTATATAAATTGGTAAAAAGTAGCTTGTCCAACCTCAATACAAAGTCTAAATAGCACCCCCAGTAAATGACTTTAATCTGACTAACATGGTTCCAAGCATCATGTGCTCTATGCCCTATTTACTCCATGCCATAATTTTCAATCTCTTTTGAAGGACTTGGCAAATTATGGACCATTCCTTGCATGTTTAATGCAGATGGAATGTTTTATTGGTTTTGGCGAAGGGTAAGCAGAATTTTTGTTAAGATGGTTGCAGACATTAGGAGAAGGGATCCTGTTTTATACAAGGTCTCAAAAGCAACACGTTTTTTTTGGGTACTTATTGAATCAGAAAACTGACCATTTTGGCACTAAATAGGGGGAGGGCATGACATTCAATTATTCATATCAGCACCATCACCCTTATCTCCTTTACTTCCCATCCTCTATGGTACACCTTTGTCGGTTTTAAGCAGGCAAAGGTCGATATGGCAACAGGCAAAAAAAAAAATTGCAAATTACTGAAAGAAACTTGAATTTAAAAATATAATTAGATCTAGATATGTAGATTCAATTTCAAAGTTGACTGTCAAATATAAAATATATGTTTCATGAATCAGAATTGTCATCTATTTCATGAAAATTAAATTTTTTGATGCTAAAGTGATGCTAAGTTCGCTAGAACATATGGAAGTAGAGAAGCCATTAGGTAATCCTTTAGTTTATGATAAGATAGAATTATTAAGAGGGTTAGTGGACAGTCGTGTGTGATTTATTTGTAGAGTATTGAATTTTTAATTTTTATTTAAAAATCGATCTCTAAAACCTCAAATACAAAAAAGAAAAAAAATTATTAAGGAGGTTTGGAGGGCCCAACTGCCCAAGGGAACTGACAATAATAGTGATAAAAAGGCAGGGGCAGAGAAGGTGGGGGGTGGCTGATTTTCAATTGGTTTCTTTCTATAAGCAAGATGATCAAATGTGGATGGGCAGTGTGTATGCGCAGTATGAGAAGTGCATTGGGAACCACTTGTGCTTATTCTCAGAATCTTTTCTGTTCCAAAGAAACATCAATTTAAAAAACCACAGCTTCCCCACATTGGGGTGTGATGAAAGCTGCTTTGATGCTGAAGCTTCTCTGAGATAAAATAATTGTGGTGTTGGAATGCTGACTCAGAATTTTGAGCATTAGACTTGTCTTATCAATTAGTTTTCATATATACAGTCCAAATTAGTTGAAATAAACAACAATTATTTCTTTAGAATAGTAGCTATTCTTTCTACCTCGGATATGTTAAACAGAAAAGCCATTTTTCAAACAGATAAACTAAATCAATGACACTCCATTTTCAAGAGTCTTGTCTTATATCTGACCAACTCTAAAAAATTTTTCTTTCAAGTTTTCCAACTGTTAAACATAGTCATAAGGAAAAGTACCCAAAAAAAAAAACCATAAATTTGTGCATATCATCATAATTCTTTCATTAGGTACCGGAAATGAAAACCAATGTTTTTATTTTTATATTTATTTATTTTTTACACTTGAGTTTATCAGATTGAATCTGATGATTGAAACTAAAAGTTTAACCACAAGTCCATCGGCAAAACTAAGGAATGCTATATTCATAGTATAATACTTTTAAGAACCAAATTCATGAATCTCTGAATTTTACATATTCCCTAAAAAAGGTAAAATAGTTATCACTTTATAATCTTGTCCTTAGAAGGCTTTTTTTTGGTGGGAATGGAATAAGAGAGTTAGAGATTCTGTTGGTGTGGAGCTGATGAAGGTTTAAATTTACTGAGACTGATATATAGTTCCTTAACTATGGAACAAAGGAAGCATATGATATGAATGAGGATTGGCTTATCAAGTCTCTGTCTTATCTTGGTATCAGGTTTTAAAGCATTTGATGATAAGGATGGAAACAAAGCAATAATTAAGGATGCCATGGAAGTGCTGATTCGAAAGGGAATTGTAGAAGAGATATGCTTCCACACATCAAAGAAATAAATATAAAGAAAGCAAACAGGCCAACAAAAAACAGGAGCCAAATGCCTCCCAACTAGGCACGTTGAATATAGCAACAGAGTAAAATGCCTCTCAACTTGGCGTTTAAAATGACAGAATGGTGATGCAGAGTTATCAAATCAATAATAAAAGTGATTAAATGCGCATTTTGGTTTTGGAAAATTGAAGATAAATCATTAGAAATCACATCTTTAAACACTTGTATTTGAGAATGACTCGTCTAGATGAGATTATCAGTGCTCAAATGAAGCTCCGTTCCAAGTATATCTATCTGAAAAGCTTGGGGTTATTTGAGTAAATAACAGAGTCCACAACAGGATAAGACTCAAAGAATAGAAACTTAGATGGGAAATTCCAAAAAATTCTCCTGGGGAAGCTAATTTTAATTTTTGGCAAAGATGGCATGGGAATACGAGGAAAAAATATGCTCTTCATTTCATCACTGGTAGTTCAAGAAAATGACACAAAATCATTCTTTGTTTCCAGCGGGCGGCTGGATCTGGTTCCTGGAATGAGATTATAATTCAACCAAAAGCCTCTATGCTGAGAATCTAGCAAAATGAGACGAGACGTTGTTACATCTTCCATAGCCCAATTTTTTGGTCAAGAGCAAAATACTGCCCACTTGCTAATTATTTTAAACACTTGAAATTTAGCGCAGCATGTCCAGTATTGCATTGCAAAATGCTGGAGAGAAGACAAATCTTACCACGGAGCCTGATATTGACCAGTGCAGACTGTCAACGGGGCTTCAACTGTTGGGAATATTGACTCAAATCCTATAAGAGATTTGTTTGAGATTTGTTTGAGATTTGTCAGATATTGTTTGATGGACAAGAAGACTTGCAAATGAAGAATTCTAAGAGAAAGGGATTCTTAATAGGCAAGTTTGACTTACAGGAGAAGAATTCTAAGAGGAGAGAGATTCTTAATGGACAAGTTTGTATGGTTATAAATATGTGAAGTCTCTACAGGGTTAGGTATGAGAAAAAGATGTAAGAGAGTTGTAGGATTTTGTGGGATAGACACCCCATAAGAGTATTGGGGTTCTACATCTTATGGGTGTGTATGTTTGTTTGTGAGTAGACTAGAGGAGACTGAGAGGGTCCACATAGGTATGATGTATGGGAACATATGAGTATGTGTTTGGTTATGTTAAAAGGATGCACAAGGATTTGGGTTTGTGTTTGTTTGGATAGAGAATACTTCATAGGACTAGAGGAGATTGAGAGTGTCTTATGAGTATTGATTGTTGAGTGGGGTTGATGATATGATGTATGTTTGTAATTTTCTACAACTAGTGGATCTTGTTTCTCATCCGTGGATGTAGGTCAGTTGGATCGAACCACGTTAAATTGTTGTCTCTTATGTGTTTGATTTATTGTTTGATTTCGCTTCCGCTGGTGTGATTAGATTGAAGGCTTTTAGTCCAACAAATGGTATCAGAGCTGTGGTGTTCCCCAACATCAACAGCAGCATGTGTTCAAGAATGAGTATAGTGATTGGGTATCAGTCCACGAGAATAACTTGTTTGAAACACATTCTGAATCAACCAGTTCAAATACTTAAACCAAGTCATGCAAGAACCCCAGATATTCTTGTTAATGATGCCTCAATCAGGAAAAGTGAAATCAACTTTGCAGAAAAAAAATTGGAATTTGACCAACTAGTGCATATTTTTCCTCTCATGAATCGACATCAATTGCTTGAGATCCCTCCATTTTACGAAAAATGGGCATGATCTAGCTTCCTAGATGAGGCGTTGAACATGAAGTTTTATGATGGCATTGGAAAATCAATCGGCTTCATTTCTCAAGAACGACCGAAATATAAGATAGGAGCAGTTCTTGCGGTGGAGAAGAGCGACATGATTTAGATCTAGTAGACAGACCCAAAGAAAGCCCAAACTACAATTGGGCTAGCGTGTTGGTATATATATGGGCTTCAGGTTTTCCGATCCACTAAACTTTCCCACCTAAAAGAAAAATAAAGTAAAAAAGCAAAAAAAAATAAAAAAATCCAGCGTGGTTTTGTTCTTCCAAGCATGTCCTCGACCCCGCTTTTCAACACCCCAGCACCGCCACCTCCCTCCATAAACCGTACCACTCTCTCATGCAGCAGCACCACCGCGGCCACCAACTTCCCACTATCACCAAACAAGCTAGCTGTTCTCTTAGATAAATCCAATACCATCCGCCAACTACTTCAAATCCACGCAGCTCTTCTCCGCCACGGCCTTCACCAACACCCCATCCTAAACTTCAAACTTCAACGCTCCTACTCTTCTCGAGGCCGTCTTGACTATTCTGTCGCTCTCTTCAAACGAACTCTCAACCCCAACATCTTTCTTTACACTTCTATCATTAATGCCTATGCCCTTCATGGTCTCTCCCTAGAAGCTTTATTTATCTATACACGAATGTTATTCGAAGGTGTTCAGCCTAATGAGTTTACATTCTCATCTATATTGAAATCTTGTTCTATTGAACATGGAAAAATGCTTCATTCCCAAGTTATCAAACTTGGGTTTGATTCAGATTTGTATGTAAAGACAGGTCTAGTTGATCTTTACGCTAGAGGGGGTGATGTTGGGTCTGCTCAACTTGTGTTTGAGAGAATGCTTGAAAAGAGTTTAGTTTCTTTGACCGCGATGCTAACTTGTTACGCGAAACATGGGGAGCTTGAGGAAGCAAGAGTGCTGTTTGATGAAATGGTGAAGAAGGATGTGGTTTGTTGGAATGTAATGATTGATGGCTATGCTCAACATGGAATGCCTAATGAAGCTTTGGTGCTATTCAGGCGAATGTTGGCAGCGAAAGCTAGGCCTAATGAAATCACTATATTAGCTGTTTTATCAGCTTGTGGGCAGCTTGGAGCTTTGGAGTCAGGCAGATGGCTTCATTCATATATAGAGAATAATGATATTCAAGTGAATGTTCGTGTTGCTACTGCTTTGCTTGATATGTATAGCAAATGCGGGAGCTTGGAGGATGCAAGATTGGTGTTCGATAGGATTCCTGATAAGGATGTTGTTGCATGGAATTCAATGATTATAGGGTATGCCTTGCACGGGTTTAGCCGCGATGCATTGGAATTGTTCCAGGAAATGTGCAGGATTGGTTTGCGCTCTACTGATATTACATTCATTGGCGTTTTGGGTGCATGTGGTCACGCTGGTTTGGTCAAAGAGGGATGGAGTTTTTTCAATGCAATGAGAGATGAGTATGATATTGAACCCAAGATTGAACATTATGGATGTATGGTAAATCTGCTTGGTCGCGCTGGTCAATTGGAAGAGGCATATGAGCTTGTGAAGAACATGAAGATGGAACCTGATCCCGTCTTGTGGGGAGCTTTGCTTGGGGCTTGTAGGTTACATGGTAATCTTGATATGGGAGAGAAAATTGCCGAGTCTCTTGTTGGCCACAATCTTGCTAATTCAGGGACTTGTATTCTTCTTTCCAACATGTATGCTGCGAAAGGCAATTGGGAAGGGGTGGCAAGGATAAGGACCTTGATGAAAGACAGTGGGGTACAGAAGGAGCCTGGTTGTAGCTCAATTGAAGTCAACAATAGGGTGCACGAGTTCCTTGCTGGGGATTTGAAACACCCAAAAAGCAAAGAAATATATCTAATGTTGGAGGAAATGAATGGTTGGCTCAAAGCTCATGGTTACATCCCTCAAACAGATATTGTACTGCATGACATAGGGGATTTACAGAAAGAGCAATCGCTTGAAGTTCACAGCGAGAAGCTTGCTCTTGCATACGGGCTTATCAGCACACAACATGGGACCCCTATCAAGATTGTCAAAAACCTCCGGGTGTGTTCAGATTGCCATGCTGCCACCAAGTTGTTCTCTAAAATTACCGGTCGTAAAATTGTAATGAGGGACCGGAACCGGTTCCACCATTTTGCAAATGGTTCATGTTCATGCGGGGACTACTGGTGATCTTCTGTAAAAGAATTACACAAACATTTTAGGGGAAAATGACAATTTTCATCACCCTCTGGCTACAACGATGTGATTGTAGAATGCGTGTAAAATCATTCAGAAGACAAGGGTATTATCCAAATAAAGACTTACCAGAGATAAAATTCATACCACTATAAATGCAACAAAGCTTTTATGTACTTTTTCAGACGTCAAAATCAGAAGAAATGATAATATTCAACACACAACCAACCTTGAAAAATGCGGCAGCTTCTTGAAATAGATGAGGCTTGTCTGATCACACCACCATCAATTAACCAGAGTCTCGATTCACTTGAATAAGTTTCAAATTGAGGATTCTTTCTGATTACAGATTGATGATTCAATGCAAAACAATGCTGTACATCATTGGTTACCTCACAACGCAGACTCCTAATTCACAATTACAACTTACAATTAAAACCAAATTTAGTTAGTAATACCTAATCCACGAAAATGTAAAACCTACCATGGTCACAGTTTTTCCTTTTCGTTCAAAAGAAAATACCTATTCATAGCTAAATACCTATTTATAGCTGATTATCTAAGAGCATGCAATGTGCCAGCTTCCTCACAAGTAGCTCCATTACATGAAACCGATAGAAACTTTCCAGGTTGCTACATTCTAAAGTCCAAGACGCATAGCGTATTGTTTGCAAAACAAGCAGCAATCTTGTCACCCTCCTTGTTCCAACAGACTTCAAATATACCCCCATTGCCAGTATATGTCTTTACAATCTTCCCTTCTTTCAAGGACCAGATATGCATGGATTTATCAAGAGATCCACTGGCCAGATACTCTCCGTTTGGGCTAAATGCAACAGAGTATACAGGGTCCCTGGCAGTTTTATCAAAAGAAACTTGTGAGAAAAACCAAAGGGCAATGCAATTCCTGTTACCTTCAAAACTGCCTAAATCATGCGAATTGTGCATTTCACCACCAGCAACAAGGCTTTTAGCGATCTTATAACGTACAATTAGAACACTAATCTACTGCTATATCATTTAAATAGAAGAAACAAATAAATAAGAATGGATTCGAGGGATGGTACCTGTGTCCATTCAAGCTGTAGAGAAGTTTCCCTAGTTCCACATCCCACAGCTTCACCGTGGAGTCAAATGATGCACTACATAGAAAAAAGATGAAGAGAATGTTAAGGAAAACTTGAATGGAGTTTCATAGCAGCTCTTGTAAGGCAGTCTACACTCTACATGAATTCCATTGAATTAAAGGAGTAAAAGGGGATTCACTTTCAAACCAAAAGAAGAGAGTGAACATAGAATGCACTGTAGGTATGTTATCCTTCTATTTTATTTCTCCCTTTTCCCCTTCAGGCTTAGTTAGATAATACTGCAACATTGTTGAATCCCTGATAAATAGCGGGACTTCTTTTAACTTTATCTAATCCTCAAACCACAGCATCCTAAATTGTGATCAACCAAGGAGTTGCATCCTCAATCAACAGCCAGAAGAGTTTGTAGAAACAAAGCCGTTGTGAAACAAACAGACACACACACACTATGAAATATAAATTAAAATTTTATAAAATTATTATCCACAAATACGTACAGCAGAGAGAGCGAGAGAGAGACTACAGAAGTATAATGGAGACGAAACATTGAGAGGAAGGGAAAAAGGACAATTACATCATTATCCATAACCTCAATCAAGTCCAAGCTTGAAAAAATTATTCATATATTCAAATGTTAGATGTAAACCTAAACATAAGAATGGTGTACAGAAATGGGGATCCAGCAAACAAGATTAAAACAATTTTTAGTACACCTCATTTTTACCTTGCAAGAATTAACTGCTGGTTAGGATTGTTTGTCCCAGGCCCAGTAGGACTCCATCTGATGGCATATATCTCCTGCAGAGCAGTTGTTCAATGTTTTTCCTAAAAATAAACAATGAATGCACCCAGGCATATGCACAAAAGGATTGTATTGAAAAAATTTAAATCTCAAAAGTACCTTGGTATGCTCCCTAAGATCATGAACATACTTGTCTTTATTCATACACCATATCTGCACCAAGAATTTCTATTAGTTAAAAGAGAAAAGAAGAAAAGAAGTAATGCTAATACACAAAACTGCAACAACAAAAAAAGGGGCTCAAAACCAAAACAAATCTATAATATTCCAGAAAGTTGGCATATAAATTCAAATTTATAATTTTTTAAAATGAAAAAAAAAAAGACAAAATGCAATCAAACAAAAATGCATATTTCCTGCAATGAAGGATGTCCGTTAAGTAATGACAAAAAGATAGTGCATACAACCTTTGCAGTAATATCGTCAGAGCAAGAGGCCAATAGCGAACCTGTAGGATCCCATTTAACACAATTTACTTCACCCTGAATTCACAAAGTTAAAATATGTGAATAGAAGAGCAGAGAAACAATTCAATTCAAAAGTTTTGCTTATCAAAATCCAAAACAACACATTGTTTTCAGTTGCTAATTAAAGCCCATGGCTGGCAAGTTACAGAAGCCATAAGGCTTTGATTCATTGTTGTAAAAGTTTCCTGGTAAATTGTTTCTCAGAAAAAAAAAAAAGAAAGTAAAGGAATATAGAAATGAAAATTATTTTTGATTCTTGAAATTGTTTCCTTTACAGGAAAAGCTTGAATAAAAACTTGAAATCTTAGTGATTTACCACTTGTAGATAATAAAACTTATAGAAGAGAGAAGGAAAAGAAAAGAAGTCTGAGATGACTCAGGGAGGGTATGGAGAGATGAATTTAAGGGAGAAACTACAAAGTGTATAAACATCCATTTCATATAACCAACAACTATGAGATGTTGTGAAGATTAGTATATTAGATCAAGAATACAAGAGGGAAGTTAGGGTTTGGCATTTCCAGCTCAAATTGAAACTTGATCTCAGACCAAACTGCTATTAAGTCTTTTCTTTTATCAGATGCAGGTAACAAAATTTAAAATAGAAACAAAAAGAAAGAAAAGAAAGAATAGGGTTGGGGAAGAGATGAATCTGAGGGAGACAAAACAGAAAGTAGTAGAAAAGCTTTTTTTTTTCAACCAAAGACTATGAGATGCATCTAGATTAGTATATCAGTTAAAGTGTAGAAGAGGCTTGACTGGGGTTTGGCATTTCCTGGTCAGTTTGAATTATATTTGGATCTAACAGTTAGCCCACTCTTTTGAATAAAACTAAAAGAATCACCTATGAAAATTATGACTGTTGGACCAGTGAGACTAGAAACAAACCTGATGCCCTGCAAAGGTTTTAATAGGGCGGATTTCTCCAATCTTGCAAACATATATCATATGGTCTGTGGAGCTTGTTGCAAATGAAACATTGTTGCGCCAATCAACATCAAGGGTTGGACCTAAAAGGAAAAAAATGATGAAACTCCGGATGAATTAATATTGTTATGAAACTAAGCCAAATCTTAAAGTTTAGTCCAATGACCCACCTGTGTGAAATGCAAACTGCTGTTTCCATTCCTCTGCCTTTACATCCCACACAATTGCGGTTTTATCACAGCTTCCGGTAAGAAGATAATCACCCTTCTTGTTCCACTTAAGAGAAAAGATAGGTCCTTTGTGTTTACTCAAAGTAGTCCTTAGTTCACCTAAACCAAGAAATAATTGAGAGAGAGAAAGCGAAGGGTGGGGGTAGACAAGGCGTGGAATTCTCACAATCAGTCCAAAGCATTTAATAATGTATTTATACATATCTAAAAGAGTAAAAAATTCAGTTAAAAACATAAATAAACCTCTTATTTTGACTGGGTAACCAGCTAATAATTTAATAAAAAAAACATTATGAGCACCAAAAAACACATCGAAAAGTTTGAGTTGGAATGAACACCAACTCAAAGGCTGGTTTAACAAAATAGATTTTTTGAGGCCTTTAATTACAGGATATAGAATGGCATAAATAAAATAACTCATAATGACTTACCATTTGTAGTCCAAATTCTTGCTTGGCCATCATATGAACCGGTTGCAAGCAATGTCCCCTCACCCTGAACACAGGTAGGCAAAAAGAATGATATTTTAAAAATGACAATCAAATAGGCAAGCAGCTAAAATGCAATTTAGAGAATTCTGCACAAGATCTATTAAAAAGACACACTTAGACAGCAACGTAAGAATGAGAACAAAGTAGGCCTAAAGATCCATTTATAGCATTTCCAATTAAGTTCACTTACTGCACAAAAGAATTAAAAATACACTCTTTACAAAGCAATGATTGCTTTTTACAGAAATAGAAAAGCACTTGCATTAAATTGCTATCCTTCCGTTAGACAACAGAATAGCACAATTTCATGAGTCAACTTCCAATCTGCTTGAACAAACTAAAACATCTAAGGATGACACTATCACCACCTTTGCTCTATCAGCACCTGAATGCCCAAAAAATGGCTCACTCCAAATCCATTGCTCAAAGAACTAATTTTATCATGTCTTCATAGAGGTTGAATTCTCAGATTCATCATATGATCTTAAGAAAAATGGATCTGGTCAAGATTAACTGAAGAAGATTACTCCTAATTCAACCTAATTCCTGCAGCTAAGTAATGTAGGAAAACTAGAGCAAGAAATGTACCATAAAAATGTAACTACAGCTTATTCTTTGTTGTTTCTGCAATGTGATATCTGTAGTAAATATTTTTTCTTACAGTCAAGCTCATTAGTTCTCCTGCATAGTATTAGTGCTACAACAAAGCATGTTATATAGAATTGGAAACCGTTACATCAAATTAAGGCAATGAGAAAACAAAGTGTTGGATTCAGTAGGTGATCTGTACCAAAAGGAACCAAAAATTTAAATGCAACTTAAGCCTCCAACAGTAACATAACTCACATTCCAATCGAGTGTTGTCACATCTTTGCTCTTCTCATTTGTTCTTCCTTTTACATGCTTCAGCACTAGAACATTTAATGGACTGTTTTGTGCACCAGATTTGCAAAGCCCATCAGTTATTGTCCAAATACGAGCCGTTGAATCTCCAGACCTAGAAATTGAGGCAATGAAAGTTAAGTACAAGTGATATAATGAAATGAAGAAACTTTGTGACTGCATAAACTGATTAGTGACACTCCTCTATCATGGCATCCAACAACTAAGATTAAAACCCAAAGCTAAAACCTTATCAATAGAATACTTAGATAAAATGTAAATCAACAGAAAACAACAAGAGGAACTGAGTCAGATATAATAGAACTCTTCGAATAGAGCACTAAGATCTCAGTTTTTTTTTCTTTTTTTTTTGAAAGATACTCAATTAATTTCAACAACAGTGTAAATAAGCATCTCTGCTAGACAAGGAAGTCCTAAAACAGTACAAACACCAATACACATGACCACATATCCTATAGTCACACAACTGGAGAGTACATAAATGGCACTTTTGTTTACAGACCACTTATTCAATGGGCAGATGGACTGTTCAAAATGGTTTTGCTTAGTTTTTATAATTTTTATTATAGCTACCAGCAAGGCTTAATTTTTATAATTCAAATGATTAGAACTTCTAAATTGGTGCATTAAACTAAAAAACTTGGTACATCTCATGAAGCACAGAAATCAGTAAGTTCTGACAACAACAAATGCCAAATGACTGGAAATATATAAAGAAAGTGGAAAAAAGTACACAAGTAAAAGACCAAACCATCAACATAAGAAACATTTTATCACAGAAAATACCCACCCTGATGCAAGAAGTGAACCAGTTGGACTCCATGCACACGCACAAACCTGCAAAAATAAATGTTTAGAGAGAGAGAGAGAGAGAGAGCAAGGGAAGAGTAAAGAACAAATGTGTGCATCTGTAAGTCCACCTAGGTGCATAAGAAGATTCAAAAAGGCTCAAACCTCAGAAGTGTGCCCTTCCAAAATTGAAACATCAGAACTAGGAATTTCACAAGCCTCCTGAGAGGCTACAGTCGATGTAGTAGCAATATCCATCGGTTCCGGTCCTACTAAATGCAATAATGCAATATAAATGAAAATAAATGACCAGCAACATTGGTTAAGAGAGGTATTTTGCAAAACTATATAAAGATAAATTTCATGTGAATTGTAAAATATTCAACTAAAGAAAAATGTCAAGGCTAACAGAAAGAAACGGATATCAAATCAAGAAGAAATATAACAAAGGAGTTTACTAACCTACAGAAGTTCCATTTTCTTCATGCTTGAAAGCATCCTTGTCTTCTTGGTCCATAACCATATCTCTGTCAGCAAGTTCCTCTGGTTGCTTTTCTTGCTCCTTATTGCTTTCTGCCTTCTCCCTTTCCTTTTCACGTTCCTTCTCTCTTTCCTTTTCACGTTCTTTCTCCCTTTCATGTCTTTCTTTCTCTCTTACTCGGCCATGCTCTCCTTCATGCTCCCGGTCAACCTCTTTATCTTTATCTTTATCTTTATCTTTATCTTTGTCCTTATCATTGTCTCTGTCCTTTTCGATATTCTTCCTTTTCTCTTTTATCATTTGCCGCAATTGATTTACATCCTTTGTTATTATATCCAAAGGTTGCAAGAATGAAAAATCTTCATCCATTTCTACATCATTCTGCAAACTCAAAACAAATCATGAAGAGCATATAGTCCTAGTAATCACCCTGCTCCCCCACCCCCCAAAAAGTTGACAATAAAACTAATTATAACAATAAGCATACTAACATTACTCAAGTTAGCTTCCATCTCCAAGTATTGGAGTCCTTTTTGAACAAATGTAATAAGAGCCCCAGGTGGAATCAAATTCCCATCAATAGTACACTTATTAATGCCTGCTTCATATCCTAAAGTAAATGCTGAATGTGTAAAACCTGCAGACATTTGATAAGCAGAAGATAAGATACATCGGACATTATATAAAAGAACACTCATTTGAAGCTTGAAAAGCAATAATGTACAACCAAGGAATCCTCCACCTATTTTTCCCTATATAAGCATCATCATGTAAACAAAGAGCAGAACTCAAAATAACCTAAATTGTTTCTTAGTTTTTTTAGATTAGACTATGTAGGAAGGAAAATTGAGGGGCAAGAAATAGAAGGAGAGGGAGGAAACCTGCAGACATTTGATAAGCAGAAGATAAGATACATCAGACATTATATAAAAGAACCACTCATTTGAAGCTTGAAAAGCAATAATGTACAACCAAGGAATCCTCCACCTATTTTTCCCTATATAAGCATCATCATGTAAACAAAGAGCAGAACTCAAAATAACCTAAATTGTTTCTTAGTTTTTTTAGATTAGACTATGTAGGAAGGAAAATTGAGGGGCAAGAAATAGAAGGAGAGGGAGGAAAGCTGTTTTTCCTCTGTTGTGTTTGGTATGAAGGAAGGAAAATAGAGAGAAAGAAAAAGGTAAGGAATAAAATTATAATCAAAATGATTAATTCAAGTCAAATGGGTCCTTTCCTTCCACTTTTTAAATGATTGGATTTGGAAGGAATGGAAAGGTACAAATCCATCCATTTTCCCTCTCTCTTCTCCTATTTTCCTCCTACCAAAAGGATGGAAGGAAGAAATATTTTCCATCCGCGCCTTTTCCTTCCTCTAATCCAACCAAACACAGTGTTAATTAATAAACAAAATATGAGTAGTACATGTAAATTCTCAATTCAATACAATGACCATGCAAAATGTTAACAGGTTAATGACGGTCTCAATCAGTGCAAAGAAAATACAAACTAAATGTTTAATATTTCAGAAAATGGGAGTTCAGATTGGGATTCTCATCTAAAGTTATCCAGTGCCCTAGCCGGCAACATTGTACTAAGCTGTTGATGAAATCAATGAGATTCAAAACCCTAACCAGAATAATAGTCAATATCAACCATCCATTCTCACAGATCTAGAGCACAACAAACTTCTGAACATTATAATGCCAGAACTTAATCTCAAAATTACAGTTCATAATCAAATTATTTTTTCTCGTTTCTTTTCTTTTCTTTTACATTAAACGAGCAATAAAAATAGCTACTTAAATTTCAAGTTGCTAACTGCAAATACAGTAAAAACAAATCACCGGAAACGAAAATAAAGAAACAAAGTTTCAAAAATAGAAATCGGCCTAATGAGATATTACAAATTAAAGGAAAATTTGAACTGACCTGACTCTTGAAGGTAACGGAAGACGAGGTAATTCAATTCAACGGAGGTGATGGGGGTCATTGTTACCAAAGTCGCCTAATCCAACGGTTGTGATGGAAGCTCAGACTGTCATTAGGCAAGCGACGCAAAGCCAGAGAAGAGAGGAACCGAGAGGCTATGGGGACCGTCCAGAAGATAGAGAAAGAAGAATATTATTTTCTAGCTTCTCTTTTTTTTTTTTTCAGATTTTATTTTATTTTCGCTCTGCCTATTTTTTGTTGGGCCTTAATCTCGCATCTGGAGGGTCAATCTATATCAGTTTAGGCCACATAATTTCTAGACCATTTCAGTTTAAAGAGCCCGTTTTAATAAATTTGGGCTGATTCAGTTAGAATAATGTAATTTTTTTTATTGAAGGGTAAAAAATTTTTAAATTTCGTCTAATATATATATTTTAAAAATAATTTATTTATATCAAATTTAGTAAAGTCATACTAAATTATTTCTCACAATTGTCTAATAACTTCTATAACAACCAACCAAACAGTCTTATCATTTTGGGTCCACAACAATTGATAGATCATGTACGTTGTCAATTCATTGCCAATGTGAACATGCTTCAGGCTGAAGCGTCAAATGTAAACGGCTCAAAAAGCAAAAGCCCTACATTCGCAAGAATTCTAAGGCCAAATCAATGGAAATTTCGTTTAAGAGTTTGAAAATATTTGTTATAAACACTGATTTCGTATAAAAAAAATAAATAACTAATTGCAATGATAACAAGGCAAGCAGAAAATTATCTCTACTTAGGAGCCAAACTTGACCACAAAAAATCAAGCCAAGTCAAACGTGTAAGATTCTATCACGCTTCCACAGTACTGTCTGTTTAATTATTGAAAGAAACAGAGGAAGGAAATCAAACATGGAAGAAACAACAATTTTTTACTCATCTCTTTCTCTTGTAGTCCTCTTTCTTGCTTTCAAGTTCTTTTTTCAATCAAAACCTCGCCACAAAAACTTGCCACCAAGTACACTTTCTCTTCCAATCCTTGGCCACCTTCACTTGCTAAAGCCACCTCTTCACCGTCTCTTCCTCAAGCTTTCACAAAACCTCGGTCCAGTCTTCTCCCTTCAGTTGGGGTCACGCCTTGCAGTTGTCGTATCATCACCGTTAGTAGTCGAGGAATGCTTCACCAAAAATGACATCGTGTTGGCGAGCCGTCCGAATTTGCTCTTCAGCAAACACCTAGGCTATAATCACACCAGTGTTATAAGTGCGCCGTACGGGGATCATTGGCGTAACCTCCGTCGTATTAGTACCATTGAGATCTTCTCATCAAATCGCCTCAACAAGTTTCATGGTATCAGAAAAGATGAAGTGAGAAGATTATTGTTGAAACTATCCCGTAATTCCCATGAAGCTTTTGCCAAGGTAGAGCTTAAATCAATGTTTGCAGACTTGACATTTAATAATCTGATGAGAATGATGGCCGGAAAGAGATATTATGGTGAAGATGTGACTGATGACAGTGAGGCAAAGGAGTTTAGGGACCTTGTAGCAGAGGCAGTTGAAAATGGAGGAGCAGGGAATGTAGGAGATTATCTGCCAATACTGAATTGCGCTAGTAATTATGAGAAGAACTTGAGGGAGCTTGCAAAGAGGATGGATGGGTTCTTGCAAGGGTTAGTTGATGAGCGTCGAAATGCAAATGGAGGGAATACAATGATTGATCATCTTCTTTCTTTACAAGAATTAGAGCCTGAGTACTACAATGATCAGATTATCAAAGGACTTCTATTTGTAAGTCAGATTTTCCCTGTTTATTACAATCATCAAGAAAGAACATTTTCTCATCTTGTTGAAATTAACATGTTGAGATTGCTATGACAGGTTATGATTCTTGCTGGAACTGACACATCTGCAGTCACCTTAGAATGGGCAATGTCAAACTTACTCAATCACCCAAATGTGTTGAAGAAAGCCAGGGAGGAAATAGATGCTCAAGTTGGTCAAGAAAGGTTAATTGATGAACCAGATATTGCTAAGCTACCTTACCTTCAAGGCATAATGTCTGAGACCCTTCGACTATACCCGGCAGCCCCACTTCTAGTGCCTCATAGAACATCCGATGACTGTACCATAGGTGGATACAATGTGCCGCGCGACACCATAGTGTTAATCAATGCATGGGCTATACATCGAGACCCTGAATTGTGGGATGATCCAACAAGTTTCAAGCCGGAAAGGTTTGACAATGAAGTTAAAGATCATGGCCACAAATTCATGCCTTTTGGTATGGGAAGGAGGGCTTGTCCTGGGACGGTCCTGGCTTACCGCATGGTTAACTTAGCTTTGGGGTCATTGATCCAATGCTTCGAATGGGAAAGAGTAGGTGAAGAAAAAGTTGATATGACTGAAGGTAAAGGAATCACCATGCCTAAAGTTGAGCCATTAGAGGCGAAGTGCAAGGCACGCCCCATCCTCAACAAGGTTCTTGCTACAGCAGCTTAAAAGAGTTATATTTATTGCAAAATTGTTTGTATTTCACAATATCTATCTTTTTTCTTAACAGTGAACTAGTAAAAATATAAATCTCTTTGTCATCGCTCATAATGTTACAATCCAGTTTTTTTTTTTTTTTTATAAGCTGAATTTTCATTTACCCAAAGCCAGCAAGAATATATTGCAATACAATTGTTCTACAACTTAACAATTAAAGAAAGACAATTAACAGACAATCTATTCTAAAAAATCTAAATTCAGGTTTCAATCTTCACTAAGCTGTTTGTTTACTGTATCTCCTGCAATATGTTTCAACCTACGCAGCCTATATCTTATAATTTCTTTGACTCTGTCCACCATTTTTGCTGCTGTCATTTCCCTTTGCCTGAATATCCTTTGGTTCTTTTCCCTCCATATGAGACATATACATGCATTACAGGCAATTCTCAATAAGGTTGAGATCGAGGCTTTCCCTTTTAATCTGTTCTCTACCCAGCTCAGTTTTGTGTACCAACTTCTTTTGTATAGACACAAGGGATAAACATGGTCACCATGACCACATCATGTCCTTCATTGGAAGCCTATTCAGAATAGTCATCTAGGTTATCAGTGAATGTTTTGGGATGTGATACTTGATTCATGTTAGTTTCTGTCATTTCACTTTCTGTGATCTGATTTCATTCCATACCACAGCAGCTTCATAACGTCACTTTGGAAATGGCCATACCTCCACTCTATTTTTCTTTTTTGATGAATTTCGGCACAATCTGCCTTATTTGAAGCAATTTCCTCCAGTTCCAACTGCTAGTTTGCTTGGCTGCTGCTTGCCATACGCTTCTCCCTTTCAATTCATAAGCTTCGATCCAAGTGATCCACAAAGAACCAGCTTTAGCAATTATCGACCAGATCTTCTGCAAGACGCAAGCTAGATTCCAGATTAAGATATCTTTAACTTCTAGCTTTCCCTCAGACTTAAGATAACATATTGCCTGCCAGCTTACTCGAGCTCTTTTTGGCGATCCTTCTTTTCCTTTCCTAAAGAATCCAGAACACAGCTTGTTTATCATCTTCAGCACATGTTTTGGGAAAATAAAATGCCTAGACCAATAAATCTATATACTAAAAGCATTGACGAGACTAGTTGTAGCCTGGCAGCATATGATAAGTGTCTTGTAGCCCAGCTACTAATCCTCGCTGTTATCTTGTCGACCAAGGGTGCACAATTTTTCTCCGTGAGCGAGGTACCTAACTGGTAGCGAACCAATCTTAAACCCATAAGCTTGCCGGATTGTAGCAATTTCTTCCCTGCTAACCCCTGAAGAGTTCACTTTTCTCACAGTTCAACTGTAAACCAGACATAGTATAAAATGCCTCCAACACCACCTTTATCCCAGCCACTGAGTCCAATATTCCCTTTGTGAAAATCAACAAGTCATCAGCAAAGCAAAGGGAGGATAATTTAATCCTCTTGCATCTAGGATGATAATCAAAGAATCCAGCAACGGCAGCAGCATCCAATAATCTGGAAAGAACATTAATAATCAGATCGAACAAGTAAGGGGAAAGTGGATCTCCCGCCACGCTCCCCTTGCTCTTGTGAGTTGTGAAATATTCTACCAGCCCACCATTAAGCGATAAAGAGAAAAAAGATGTTTTGCTTTTGTTTATTAATATACTCATTACTTTCAGCTCTTTTTCTATCGAGTTTTGGCACGATCTGAATGTCATTTTTCAAGGAAAATAGATGCTAGCTTGCTACAATCGAATTTTGGCACGATCTGAATGTCATTTTTCTAGGAAAATGGATGCTTTTCCGCCTCTAGCTCCTTTATCTATGGGATATGACAATGGGTACTTTCTGCAAGTCTTACTTTGAGCATGGAACAAATCTTGATATACTTATTGCTTTCAGCTCTTTTTATATTTCTGGCAACCAAGTTAACAAGCTCAAGACACAAAAAGCTCCCACCTAGTCCTTTGTCTCTTCCAATTCTGGGTCATCTCCATCTCCTCAAAGAACCCCTCCATCGAACACTCTTTAACCTCTCCAAAAAATAATTCCCAATCTTCTCCCTCAGGCTTGGCTTTCGCTCCCTGGTTGTCGTTTCATCACCCTCAGCTGTCCAAGAATGTTTCACCAAAAACGACATTGTCCTAGCAAACCGTCCTCGCTTCGTCATGGGCAAGTACGTTGGCTACAACTACACGACTCTTGGTTTGGCTCCATACGGTGATCATTGGCGCAACCTTCGTCGACTATCCACTATTGAAATCTTCTCATCGAATCGTTTGAACATGTTTTTAGACATTCGAAAAGATGAAGTCAATCGTTTATTGTGCAAATTGTACCAGGTTTCAGCCAATGGTTTCGCCAAGGTAGAGCTGAAATCAGTGTTTTCAGAGCTGACGTTTAATATAATCATGAGAATGATTGCAGGGAAGCGGTATTTTGGTGATGAGGTGAGTGAGAATTATGAAGAAGGGAGGCAGTTTCGGGAGATCATCAAGGAGCTTTTTGAATTGGCAGTGTCTTCATATCCTGGAGATTTTCTGCCTATATTGCAGTTGGTCGATTACAATGGATACATCAGGAGAATAGCAAGCCTTGGTAATAGAACGGATGAATTAATGCAAGGTATGATTGATGAACATAGAAGAAACAAAGGTGACTTCAGAATAAAAAATACTATGATCACTCATTTGCTCTCTTTGCAAGAATCACAGCCTGAATATTATACCGATGAAATCATCAAAGGACTCATACAGGTCAGTTACAATATTCCTCGCTCTTTATTCTCAAAACTAAAATGAAAAACAAATTCAAATTTTTGAAGATCTGCATGATTTTATTACTTCCCTGCAATATTTTAAGGCTTTTTTCATGATTTGGAAAACTCTAGATAAAGGATTGACAAATGCATGATGAATGTTTCTGATCATACAAAGTGTGACCATATCTAGCATGATGTCACATTTGAAAAAGAATGGTATTCAATTAACTATGCTATCCCACTAAAGTTAGTGAGTATACACATTTTTGTTGCCTTGGATTTCGATTTTGCAGGTTATATATTAAATGCAGGAACTGATACGACATCAGTAACCTTGGAATGGGCAATGTCTAATCTGCTTAACTATCCTCATGTGTTAGAAAGGGCTAGAGTTGAACTAGACAAGCATGTTGGTCAAGACCAGTTGGTACAAGAATCTGATCTCTCAAAATTACCTTACTTACAAAGCATAATTTCTGAGACACTTCGGTTATACCCAGCAGCTCCACTCTTAGTTCCACATGCAGCATCTGAAAATTGCAGTATTGGAGGATATGAAATACCCAAAGAAACCATTTTGATGGTAAATGCTTGGGCTATTCAAAGGGACCTTGAATTATGGGATGATCCAACAAGTTTTAAGCCAGAGAGGTTTGAAAGCAAGGAGACAAGCCATCAGATGACTTATAGGATAATGCCGTTTGGGTTAGGAAGAAGAGCTTGCCCTGGAATGGCCCTATGTTGGCCTTGACATTAGGGTCATTGATTCAGTGTTTTGAATGGGAAAGGGTAAGTGAGAAGAAAATCGACATGACTGAAGGGCAAGGCCTCACTATGCCTAAAGTTGAACCATTGGAAGCCATTTGTAAAGCAGGTAACATCGCAAATAAGTTGCTTAATTTTTAAAATTGTTTATGATTATCAATATCCTTCTTTGGTTTTTTTTTTTTTTTTCGCTTAATTTGATAAAATGTTATTCATAATGCATGGTTGGATTGGCTTGTAGACTTATATATTAAAATGTTATTCATAATACAAAAGTTCTGCTTGATTGATGTTTTTATTATTATATTGGAAGTAAGAAAGACATATAAAAAAATAAAATTTTTAAAGGATTATACAAAAAATATATTTTTTAAATGACAAAATTCATGATTCTACTTATATATTAATTATATATTAATTATTTTTTTCATTTTAAATCAATTAAATTGTTGCTCTAGCCTTTAATTTTGCTTTATAACAAGTTTTCAAAAAAAAGAAAAATAAAAAATGGAAAAGAGTAAAAGTTAGTAGCTACTAGTTGATTATATTTTAATTATGGCATATCTATAAGAATGAAAACTTTAACAAGAAAGTAGGCTTCAAATTCAAGCGCCGTGGATTGATTAGTTGGCCTAGGTATAGGAATTTCATTGCTGTTCATGATTTCGCATTTACCTTCCCATTTCTCAATTAATAAATCAACTTTTCATTGCAACAACTTGAGGGGAAAGATCAATGTAGAATATGAATGAGTACTTTAATTATTATTCAAGTCAATGTTCTAATCGTTCCACCAAACTATCCTTATCCAATTTCCCTGTTCCAGGACTACGACAATTATGATTGAAGCAAAGTTGGTACATCTGTGTAGATCTAACAACCCTCACTTCGATTAGGCTTGGAAGAAACAAAGACCTGATCACACAAGAAAACTGTCTTGAGATCATTGAACATAACGATACCACTTCCGACGACCCTTTTCATTCTTCTCATTGACAGAAAAAAGCCTACATGAATACCTGATCTTCCTCAATGTTAGGAATCCAGTCATTTGTTGCCGGGTTGCTTTTGAAAATTGGCCTGTTGACTACATTTTCAGCACCCTGGCCGTTTTCCAATTGAATATCATATCCATTTCCTTCACCTCCTTCTGTCATCACTCTTATAAACCCGCTTCCTGTCTGTCATCAATAAACAAACGCAAAAACAAATGCAAATTCATGAAAAATAAAGCACAAGACACTTCAGATTTCAGCCAAAACAACAAAACTATAAGAAAATAATAGGTTAAGAACAAAAACCCTGTGATGTTCTTTGTCAATGGAATCCATCTCCCTGTAATATTGTGTCTCCACAAATTCATCTTGTACCATAATATCCCCTCCCGCCGAAATCTTCACCTATGAAATCAAATTAAAGAACTGAAAAAGGGACTTTTTTTGCTTACGTGTAAAGAGTAAAGCTTGAATGACAAAGATGATAGGACCGCGTTAAGGAAAGCATACATGAGATTGAGATTGAAGAGACCGTAACTTGTCGAGCTCGGGTATGTTTTTGTCTACAGCTGGAGGGAGATTGGAGGTGATGGTTGCTAAATCAGGTTCACTCCTGTTGGGCTTGGTGGGTCGTTTTGGGGCCAAGGAATCGAACTGAGCTCTGACCTGATTGGTGATTTGTTGCTGTTGATCTGCGTCCAAAACTTCATCACTCCGGCTTGGTTTAGACACGGTCCATTGACCCACCATCTTGATCTTTGATTTTTAAACTTTTATTTTCTTTGCGTTGTTTTGTTCTTTCTTGTTGCTGTTAATGGTATCCTGTTTTTATTTATAGAGAAGAGAATGAGAATACCGACTCTCGGTGATGGAGTGGGTCGGCAACCTATGGCATATATTATATATAGAGAAGATTAAAATCGAAACTATGGGTAATTGGCCAACAAAAATATTTGAAACTGTGGGTTAAAAGATACCGCTTTTGCGCTGTAAATCTTACGGTTTGATCATCTATCAAACTCCAATTTTGACTGGGTTCTCGAATGGTAAGATGGGAGGCCACGGCTTTTCTGTGATAGCCCAGATGATGGCTCAGATTGGCTACTTGGAGGCTTGGACCACGCAGTCACCCCAAATACTTTGACTGCATTGAAATGGACTATTTGTGCAGTTGATGAATTAAGAATGGAAGGGCAGGTGAGTACCATTAGTCAAAGACTGGGATAGAATTGTGCAACATTTGAATGGGGGAAATAATTCAGCACAACCTAACTAGTTTGATATCATCTCTTTCCCTCTTTTAGCAAGTTCGTTTGTTCATCTTTTTTCCTTAAACTATTTGAAGAATTTTACCATGAAATACTACTAGAAAATGGCTAGTGATTAAAGAATTCTTGCTTACATTCTCAACAAAAAATAAAAAATGCTTAGACTTTACCCTGGGAAATCAATCATCAATTTCATATCTTCCCCAAAATCATGTTTGGCTTTAGCAAGTGCCATCAAAAGTATGTCCACGTACATGGTATTGGATCTGCGGGATTCAGCTATTCCACCAAAGAAGTGCTTTGAATTTGATACATACAAAGTGATGTCCAATAAATCCTGTTATTGAAGCAGAAAGATAAGGGATATTTGTTGTGAAACAAAGAAAGCACTCTTGCATATACTTTCCCCACCACGGAAGTTTTATGAGACTAGGTTCTTACCATACTACAAGGGTTTCAAACTAAAATCATGAACTCTCCTCCATAAATTTGGCCTAAGGACAATTCTATTTCTATTGATGATTCTATCTTTTCCTCGTTTTAATCTATCATTGCAACAGCCCAATAGAGAAGAATTATGCAAAAGTGCTTAGATTTATTTATTTGGAAGTCACTTTCAGGATGTAAAACTTCCCACCTAGCCAACACTCATCTTATTATTTCTCTTTCCCACCAGGCCACCACTACAACAGCTACTGTTATACAAGGAAAGAACTGAGTACAGAGTACAGACGAAAATTACTGTCTTAAATCATTCCTTGTTTTATCAAATGTAAAGTGTAGACATTTAATTTGATCTAGACTCAAATTAATTGGGTTTGATCTAAATATATATGTTCATTTTATTTTTTACTTTTGTTTTTATTTTATATTTTATATTTTTTCCTTTGTATCTTATGTATTTATTATTTATTTATTTATTTATGTTAATATATATTTATTATTACTTAGCTATTTATATATTATTATATATATGTATTTATTATTATTTATCTATTATTTATTTTTATTTATCTGTTAATATTTTTATTTATCTGATTATTTTTTTAATTATCTATTAATATTTTTTTTATTTTATTTTCTTTTTCGACTGAGATTGGAATGAATTTGGAGAATCCTACCGTGAATTTGAGATTCAATCAGAGTCTATATTGGATTCAATGATCGAATCTCAATCCAAAGAGGAGTTGAGATTGATTAAAAACTCTTCTGATCAATCCCTATAAATAGATCCACGGATCAAAGGAAAAACAGATAAAAAGGCAGACACTGGCTGAGAGAGAGTGAACAGAGAAGAAACAGAAACTAAAAAAAAAGTTTTGGTGCGTTAGAACAGCTCTAGGAATTAGTGAAAATTTTTTTAGATTTTTGGCGATTTTTTTTCTGAAAATTTTTGAAAATTTTCTAAATTTCGGTTGAATTTTTTGGTGAGGTTTAAATTTTTAGACGACTTTTTTGGCCAAGTTTGAATTTTTCAGCTAGCTTCCCAGTTTTCGGTGACTATTTCCAGAAATCGATCAGTTTTTCAACGAACTTCAGGTAAAAAACTCAGATTTTGACGAAAATTTTCAGAATTCGGTGAGATTCAACCGGAGTTCTTCGTGGTTTAGAGAGAAAGGAGAGGAAAGGAAGGGAAGAGAGAGAGAGGGAATGATCAATCTGTTGAAAAAATAAAAGGAATAGCCTTTTATACCAACTGAAAACGACGTTGTTTTGGTGTTACTGTGCCCAGAAGATTTACGCATTTTGAAATCGGGTGACCCGACCCGAGCGTCAACCCATTTTTGACCCACGTTCAACCCGAGTGCGAGTCATTTTCGAAGTCGAGCTGATCTGAACCGAGCCGCGTCTTTGAGCTATCTTTTCTTCTTTAAGCTGCACCGAGCTGAGCCATTCTCAAGTTTTTTATTATTATTATTATTATTGTTATTATTATTATTATTATTATTATTATTATTATTATTATTATTATTTATTCATTAGATTAGAATTGTTTAATACTTTTTATTTTATTTTATTTTATTTATTTTATTTTCTTTAAATAAAATTCAAAAAAAATATTTTTAAGGAAAAGTTGAAAGTATCAATTTTCTTTGAAAATAAGTCTTTCAAAAAAAACAATTTTTGAGAAAAAGTTAAAAGTATTAATTTTTCTTGAAAATAAGCTTTCTAAAAAATATTTTTGAGGAAAAGTTAAAAGTATCAATTTTTCTCGAAATTAACGTTTCTAAAAAATATTTTGGAGAAAAGTTGAAAGTATCAATTTTTTCTGCACAAAAACAATTATTTTTTTTCCTTTTTACTTTCTTGAATTTTTGTTTAAATGTTAAATAATTTGACGATAGAGCATTTGCAAGCGAAACAGTAATTTTCTTACAAACTCTTGAGGTGAGGGAATTTTTTTAATTTTCTGTTAAAAGTATTAAAGTTAATTGAGAATAATTTTTAATAATTAATTACTTGATAAAATTTTAAGGCTTATTGAAAGATCGGTCTGCTGAAAAAACAGAAGGAATAACCTTTATACCCGCTGAAAATGACGTTGTTTTGGCGTTGCTGTGCCCAGAGGATCCGCGCATTTTGAAATCGAACGACCTGACTCGAGCGTCAACCCGCTTTTGACCCGCGTTCAACCCGAGTGCGAGCCGTTTTCGAAGTCGAGCCGATCCGAGTCGAGCCGGACTTCGAGCCGTTCTCAGTTTTTTTTTATTTATTTATTATTATTATTATTATTTATTGATTAGATTAGAATTGTTTAATACTTTTTATTTTTTATTTTTATTTTATTTTTATTTTATTTTCTTCAAATAAAATTTAAAAAATAATATTTTTAAGGAAAAATTGAAAGTATCAATTTTCCTTGAAAATAAGTCTTTCAAAAAAAATATTTTTGAGGAAAAGTTGAAAGTATCAATTTTTCTTGAAAATAAGCTTTCTAAAAAATATTTTTGAGGAAAAGTTAAAAGTATCAATTTTTTTCGAAATTAATGTTTCTAAAAAATATTTTGAGAAAAAATTGAAAGTATCAATTTTTCATGCACAAAAGCAATCATTTTTTTTCCTTTTTACTTTCTTGAATTTTTGTTTAATGTTAAATAATCCGACGATGGAGCCTCTACAAGAGAAATAGTAGTTTTCTTGCATACTCTTGAGCTGAGGGAATTTTTTCAATTTTTTGCTAAAAGTATTAGAGTCAATTGAGAATAATTTTTAATAATTAATTATTTGATAAATTTTTAAGGCTTATTAGAGGATCGGTCTGTTGAAAAACAAAAGGAATAGCCTTTTATACCCATTGAAAATGATGTTGTTTTGGCGTTACTGTACCCAGAGGATCCGCGTATTTTGAAATCGGGCAACCCAACCCGAGCGTCAACCCGCTTTTGACCCTCGTTCAACCTGAGTGCGAGCCGTTTCCGAAGCCAAACCGATCCGAGCCGAGCAGCGTCTTCGAGCCGTCTTTTCTTCCTCAAGCCGCGTCGAGCTGAGTCGCTAAGCCGAGCCGTTCTCAGGTTATTTATTTATTTATTTATTATTATTATTATTTATTGATTAGATTAAAATTGTTTAATATTTTTTATTTTTATTTTATTGTCTTTAAATAAAATTCAAAAAAAAATATTTTTAAGGAAAAGTTGAAAGTATCAATTTTTCTTGAAAATAAGTCTTTCAAAAAAAAATATTTTTGCGAAAAAATTGAAAGTATCAATTTTCTTTGAAATTAACGTTTCTAAAAAATATTTTGAAAAAAAGTTGAAAGTATCAATTTTTCCTACACAAAAGCAATCATTTTTTTTCCTTTTTTACTTTCTTGATTTTTTGTTTAAATGTTAAATAATCCGATGATGGAGCCTCTGCAAGCGAAACAATAGTTTTCTTGCATACTCTTGAGGTGAGAGAATTTTTTCAATTTTCTGCTAAAAGTGTTAGAGTCAATTAAGAATAATTTCCAATAATTAATTACTTGGTACATTTTTAAGGCTTATTGGATAACATAAAATTAAGCTGGTACCATCTTTTGATGGGCATTGTGAGGGTGCTATAACCTTTCTTACACGTAACCGAACTCTCGAACCCTGTTCTAGTTAGTAAACCTGAACTTATTCTTTTAGGGACCCTTAAGCTTAGGTGTTCCTTAAAATGATAGATTCTTTAGGTGGCCAATCGCACCTAGATAAAAAAGATTGGTGGCGACCCTTTCAAGTCAATATCTAACGATAGATCCTCGGATCTAGACGTTATGACAGCTTGATGACTCCGCTAGGGACATCTGAGAGTCAGGCCAGCAAATAAATTTGTGTTATCCAAAAGCCTAATAAAATTGAACGTTTTTGTATATATATGTTATTATTCATTCATGTTTATTTACTTTATTAATCATGTCATTCATATGCATGTGCATAACATGATCTCTATACCCTAGCTCTGTCTCTCTAAGAGGGAGTAAAGTACCTATTGCTTTTGTGAGATTTAATGTCTCCGCAATGGCTAGCAAAATACTCCCACTCAAATTAAACTTTTTTCGCTTGTAACCTGTAATGGGTGAGGATTAATGTGCCTTACTAGTCTGTGATGGACAAGGATGTAATGAGCAATTTGTGAACCTTTAGACTTTAACCTTAAACCACAT